AAATAAGGGATACGTTCTCCTTAGTACAGTTAATATGAAAATAGCTACGTTTGATGGTGATTTCATTGAGTGCAGAGCAATACTCGATTCTGGATCACAAATAAACTTAATCACAGAAAAACTGGCAAGAAAATTAAAATTGCAGTTACACTCATCACCGTTATGGATAGAAGGAATTGGTAGAAGCAAAAGGGACACAAAATACAGTGTGACAACAAAAATTCAATCTCGAATTAATGATTTCAATGTAAATATCAACGCATTCGTGATGCCTCGAATTATCTCAGCCCAACCAACACAGTGTCTGGATACTTCTGGTTGGTCAATTCCTCAGAATATAAAATTGGCTGATCCAGACTTCGCGAATCCAAATCAAATTGACTTATTAATTGGAGCAGAATTCTATCACAGCTTTTTATCGATTGGTCAAATCAAAATAGGTGAGGGTCTACCTGCACTTCAGAACACGGTTTTCGGATATGCAGTGGCAAAGTTAGCAACGGTAAGCAAAAATTACTTACCTGTGGCATGTGCAGCGAAGCTGACGACGAAGCATTGGATAATATACTTACTAAATTCTGGCAATTGGAGGAAATCAATCAAACGGATGACAAATTCACTGATGCAGAAAAGAAATGTGAAGAATCTTTTGCTCAAAACACTCACCACAATCATGAAGGGCGATTTGTCGTGAAATTACCATTTAAGGAGGATACAACTGTTATTGGTGAGTCCATGCAGATGTCGATGAATCGGTTTTTTAGTCTTGAACGTCGGCTGTTGAAGAATTCTGAACTAAAGAAGATGTACGTTGACTTCATGCGAGAGTACGAACATCTCGGCCACATGGAAAAAATTAATCAGGATGATATAATGCATCCACATTACAATTTGCCACATCATTGTGTAATCAAGGCAGATAGTACTACAACAAAGCTTCGAGTGGTGTTTGATGCATCTGCAAGAACATCAACCGGAGTCTCACTCAATGATATCATGCATAATGGTCCAGTCGTGCAGAACGAACTCTCATCCATTTTACTGCGTTTCAGGAAACCACGCTTCGTTTTTACAACAGATATTGAAAAGATGTATCGGCAGATACTAATTGATCCAAGAGATGAATATCTTCAAATCATTATCTGGCGAGAGTCAGCAGAAGAAAACTTGTGCTATTACAAATTAAAAACGGTAACGTATGGCACAACAGCAGCGCCGTATCTGGCAACTAAGTGTCTACAAACCCTGGCCAGAGAGCATGCCGTTAAATTTCCGCTTGGTTCCGCTACACTCAGCAAGGATTTTTATGTCGATGACGGTTTAAGTGGCTCAGACAGTCTCATGGAGGCAATTGCAACAAAGGATCAATTTATTAAAATATTGGCGACAGCTGGTTTCAAACCTCGCAAGTGGTGCGCAAATAATTCCCAATTACTTCAAGGACTGGCTCCAGAAGATCAAGAAGTGGATCTCGATGTCAGCAGTGAGTCACATAAGACAGTAAAAACTTTAGGCCTTATCTGGCTACCAAAATCTGATCAATTTTCAATAAAAACTAACGGACCTACACACAGCAAAATAACAAAGAGGACCGTAAGTTCTGAATTGGCGCACATTTTTGATCCACTTGGATTAATGGCTCCCGTAGTAGTGAAGGCGAAAATATTTGTTCAAAAACTGTGGCAGTTAAAACTTTCGTGGGATGAAGCTCTGCCTGCTGAAATGCATACTCAATGGACCCATTTTCGTCAGAGCTTATGTGAAGTAAATAATGTAAAGATTCCACGACATATATTTCATCATAAACAACCAAGGAATACTCAGATTCATGTATTTACTGATGCCTCCGAAAGAGCCTATGGAGCTGCCATTTACATCAGAGCCGAAATGACTGATCGAACTATCTCAGTTCAGTTACTTTATTCAAAATCACACGTCGCTCCACTAAAAACGCAGACAATACCAAGACTTGAGTTATGTGCGGCTTTACTAGGAGCACAATTGGTAGTAAAGGTAAAAAAGGATTTGGAATATGAACATCATCCGATATATATGTGGACTGATTCTGAGATAACATTGCATTGGATCAATTCAGAACCATCAACATTCCAAACTTTCGTTGCTCATCGTATCAGTAAGATTCAGCAATTAACACTAAAGGAACAGTGGAGGCAAGTCAATACTAAACAAAACCCAGCTGATTTATTATCCAGAGGTGTAGATCCAATTTACATTCAGAAGAATGCAATGTGGTTTTATGGGCCACTTTTCCTTCATGGAAATCAAGAATGCTGGCCCCAACCATTCCGTCAGGAATTGATAACATCCGACCATATACAAGCGGATGTCAAAAGGAAGGTACATGTGCTTACAATTTCACATGATGATGAACTAATCAAAATGATTTATACGATAAGGCATGGAAACTCATTCATAAGGTTGCAACGAATTCTTGGCTATGTGTTGAGATTCATCAAAGGGTTACGTAATAAGAGCAAGCACAACGACATCAATTTGACACCATTAGAACTGGATGAGTCATTACTCATAATTATAAAAGCCATACAGCTAAGTGATTTCAATGAAGAACGACATCAACTCTTAAAGAAAAGGGATCTGAAGGGAAGCAGGAGTCTCCACGGACTTTCTCCATGCCAAACACCCCATGCTGCTGCCATATAACGATCCAATAGCTAAGCTCATAATGAAACATTTACATGAGAAGGGACTTCACTGCGGACCGCAAACATTATTAGCCCAGTGCAGGCAGCGATTTTGGCCAATAAAATGCAAGATTATGGCTCGATCCATTGTGCAACATTGTGTACAATGCACTCGAGTACGCCCACATATGTTCAAACAAATCATGGGCAATCTACCAGCTGACAGAGTCCAAGCTCAAAGACCTTTTTTCAACGCAGGTGTGGACTTCTGTGGTCCCATATGGATACACCACAAAATTAGAGGCAAAAGACCATGCAAAGCGTACATCGCAGTGTTTTGCTGCTTCTCCACGAAGGCAGTACATTTGGAAGTTGTTAGTGATCTCACCACAGATGCATTCTTAGGCGCTTTGAACCGCTTTACGTCAAGAAGAAGTCGATGTCAGAACTTATATTGTGACAACGCGACTAATTTTGTGGGCGCTAAAAATCAAATGAACGAGTTAGCTGAAAGCATTCACAGCACAAATGCTCAGAACAACATAATAAGATCCTGTTCAGCTCAAGGAATTGTTTTTCATTTTATACCTCCGAGAGCACCACATTTCGGAGGATTATGGGAAGCTGCTGTCAAATCAGCTAAATATCTATTGGTGCGAACTATTGGCAACGTGTCACTCACTTACGAGGAATTGGAAACAGTGATAACCCAAATTGAAAGTATGCTAAACTCCAGACCAATAACACCGTTGTCATCAGATCCAAATGACCCGTCTGCCCTCACACCAGGACAGTTCTTAATAGGAGAACCGCTAACAGCCCTTCCAAGTAGGTCAGAAACTACAACCAAACAATCGCTTTTAACCAGGTCGAAGCTGGTGGATCATCTAAAAACCGAGTTCTGGTCAAGATGGTCAAAGGAGTATCTTAATGAGCTACAGTGTCGCACTAAATTGAAGGACCAATCACCTGACGTCAAAGAAGGAATGCTGGTAATCATTCAAGAAGACAACGCTCCTCCGCTTCAATGGCCTCTGGGCAGAATCATCAAATGCTATTCCGGTAATGATGGAAGAATCAGAGTTGTAGATGTCAAAACGAAAAACGGGATTTGGAAGCGTCCAATACATCGGCTAGCACCATTATTGTCGGAAGATTGTTCAACCCCCATGATGCAACTTGATAGATGTGATGAAGAAAAGCCTAAAAAACGAGCAAAACTCAACATCAACTTGCTAGCCATTGCATTGCTGGTACTATTATGGATACCACTGATATCAGGGTTAGGTATCACGATAAAATCATTTAATAACACACCAGGCATTCATTTCGAACACAAAGGAGTCATCAAAAGATCACAAGCAGAATGGAAAATCATAGCATATTATGACTTAAGTCCATTGCAGCAGGAGTTTGAATTTATTGAAAATGGAACCGAATCCTTAGCGAACGTGTGTAAGTTGATGAATGGATATAATCACTGCTGGACGTTAGTTGAACAGTTCAAGGCAGCGAGAAATGAATTGTTATCTGCAAACATAATGCAGATCAACAAAAGAAAGAAGAGAGGCGCAATTGATTTAGTGGGTAACATTGCGAATGCAGTATTCGGCGTTTTGGATTCAGAATACGCTAAAAATATGGCGCAGACGATTCAACAACTAAAAAATGACGACAAACATTTGCTTGACCTTTTAAAAAATCCAACTTCAATTTTAGATTCTACTCTAAATATCATGAAACGAAATCAGTAGCAGTATCAAACAACCTTTGAATTAACAGTAGAGCGATTGAACGATGTAAAGGCAAAAATGTTAGAAGAGGACAAGGAAATTTATAATTTAAAACTCCACCAACTTTTCACTGCAATTTCAACTCAACTAGTAAGTGTAACAACAAGTACTCAATTTTACGAATCAGCAATTTAAGGAGTGTTGACCCACACAAATCATGGAAAAATCAGCCCACTTCTCCTGACGCCAAAGCAACTCATGAATGAGGTTACTACAATGAGGGAACATCTCAGGTCAACAATCCAGTTGCCGGTTAACATGAGCAACATTTCTGAGCTATATTCTCTTATGACAGTCAGCAGCGGTTTATTTGATACTAAAATGTTGTTTCAAATAACTCTACCACTAATCAATGATCAGTCCTTTGATTTATTCGTTGTTATTCCCGTTCCAGGGATCATAAACGGAGAATACGTGACAATCACACCATGCACGTCTATGATGGCATTCAATACTCATAGGAATGGATACTTTCCGATTTCAGAAATACAGTTGTCACAATGTATGTCTTCAAAAAATGATGTCTTCATCTGTTCAGATACACAAGAAATATATTCTCTTGAATCAGGCAAGTGCACTTGCGAAGTAAATCTATTTAATAATAGTACATCATCTTGCACTTGGCAAAGTTTCACAAGTAATACCTTATGGATCCAGGCTGTTGCACAAAATCAATGGATGTTCGTCGCAAGAAACCCTGTAAAGCTAAACGCAGTATGTGACAATGAGCATTCTCAGGTGAAATTGCAAAATACAGGTTTACTTAAGCTCCCACCAGGGTGCATACTCTCACATCATACGGCAACAATAACCAGCCATTACACAATGACTACTCGCTTAAAATATTCCCACACAATCTTCCATTCAAGCCCAATAGGGACAGCGATTCCTCGGCAATCATCTCTAAAGTTGAAAAACATCAGCATGGAGACAGCTAATGATGAAATAACTAGTTTGAAGGCATCTTTAAATATGATAAGGTCTCGGGAAGAACTGCCGAACAATACACTATCGCAGCACCAACACCATTTCATTGTGGAATACATGGCACTTGGTCTCAGCGTGCTCATATTCTGCAGCATAATCGGTCGATATTTATTCCGAAGAAATACACACCGTCACAGGATTGGTACACCCCACCCACAACCACGAAGACGAGTTCAAGAGCAACATGCAATGTCCGAGTTCGAAGTAGCAGAATAGGATTGACTGGCGTCAATCGGGGGCAGAATGTCCAATTTGGACATAATAATGACATAATATTTTAAGTAATATATTATAAATTATATATTTCATATTAATAATATTCTATTATTTTTGTTTTGTTGTCAAAGCAAATTTTTATTCTCATAATGTTAATGACTTGATGTCTTAGCCTTGAACGGTGGGTTAAGATATCAAAATTTATCAAAACAACAACAACAGTTGTATATCACACGAGCACACTTTGCTCGTCATATGAAACTGCAGATAAGCCATGCATTTAGCATGTGCAATTCTTTAATATAGAACATTATGAGAAATTAAATTTGCTTGTGCAAGGTCAGTATTGTACTTATTAAATAATAATTATGTTTGTAAAGCAAGCTGGTATATGGACTTAGTTCAAGGTTAAAAGAAAATAAGTTTATAAGCATATACCAGGTTGCTAAGGAAATTACGCAAGTAATATTCTTATTTGTCAATGCATACAATTTCCATGAGAACTGTGACCGTTCCCACGACTAAGTTGAGCGATATCTAATCGCTACTTTAATGCAGCTTAAGGTATAGAGCATTACCATGGGAATTGTATGCATCAACACCTTGCCAAATGTGTATAAAACCTCAATATTTTCTAATAAATTTATCATTCAATACAGAACAGCCCTTGCGTTTTAATTAGTTCAAATGCTTATTAAAACTCAATTGCAAATACCACATACCACTGACTTAAAAATAAAGTCAGTGGCATGTGAACTACTCAAGCAAAAGGTGCGTTTGGATTTCTATAAAATCGAAGAGAATAGAAAAAACTATTAAATTAAATAGTTTTCGATCACTTATATTAATTTTATTATTATTCATATTATTTTATTTTATATTTATATGTTCCTAGTCCACCAGTAAAGCCCAGTCGGTAACAACGATCCGTAACAACGCAGCCTTGTCGGTAGTGTTGTTTCCTAGTCCACCGTTGGTCAGATTTTCTTTATTATTACAGGAATTATAATAATTCTCAATATTTGTAATTGCAATATATGATAGTAATAAATATTGTAAAAATTAATTTGAAAATAATAAATAAAGGAATTAAAATAAAATTAACCGGTCTTAAAATTATTATACGAGAAGATTCAGGGTTATAAAGAAATATTCTTGTAACGACTCTGGGATCCGGTGAGCGAAACCTCGGCTGATAAAAAGGTTCATTACAGTGTGTCTATTTGTTAACAATACTACATCGTCTGCATATTCGATATGACCAAGCTTTTGATTCAGCTTCCAACCGATGCTGATTGGGCTTTCTTCCACAGTTTTAAGAACGACGTCTAGGACTGTGATAAACAGTTACGGTAAGAGGGCGCAGCCCTGTCGTACTCCACTGTTGGGATTAAAGCTGTTGCTAAGAGTACCGTCATGTAAAACTCTGTTCATGGCCGCTTTGTAGCTCTTTTTAAGAATATTATTGATTTTATTAGGAATACTTTTAGCGTTTAACGATAGCCATATGTAACTTTTCTTAAGCGCGTCGATCGCCTTTACAAAGTCAATAAATGTTAGATACAAAGTTGCATTCCATTTTGTGGCTTGTTCAATAATAATTTTGATGGTGTTCATTTGATCGATGCACGATTGTTTCTAAAAATTAATTTGTTGAAAATTTGGAAAACTGCTGCTATTAAAGAAATTCCCCTCCAATTGCTGCACTTCTTTCTGTCACCTATTTTCAGCAATTTGACGTTGATAGACTCCTTCGTTGATAGAAAATAATTCTTGGTCCCAGATTTTCGCAAATAAGCGGTGCAAAAGTTTTGACACAGTGTTGGCGTCCACCTTAAATCATTCAATCGGTACCTGGTGCTTCACCACTTTTCGTGCTAATAATTACATGTCGTATTTTGTTTTCGCTAGATGCCCTTGTGTCTATTTATCTGCTGGTATTCAGATGTATTCATATTGTGAGCACGTCACTTTCGCTGTGTATGATATTCAGAGTTTTCTCAAAACGTCTTTTCCATACTTC